TGCTCCCATCTCCTCAAGTGTTGTTGCTGCGTTGATGTGAGCGTCTGCTAAGGCTGTTTGTGCGGCTTTCTGTTGTTCCTGTACTGCTGTGAGTGTTTCGTGAAACACCTGTGTGAGTCCTGCTTCTCTTTGGCTTCCTGAAGCTGATGAGCTCCTGATCTCCTGTGCTAGTGTTTGTATTCCCTGTAAGGTCTGTGCATTGATCTCTGCAAGTGCTTTCAACGCATCCTCCATTCCTTTTGCTGCTTCAAGGCTGCTGTGCACAAGTGCTGCTAAAAGTAGTGACTTGCATTGCTCATGACTTTTCCTATCTCCACGTAGTCCTTGATCGTGTACGCGTTCGTGTTCCTGATCGTGTTCACGTTGGTGCCACGTTGTAGCCTTCCTGGTAGTACTCGCCATACACGTCGTAGTTCCTGTAGCGGTTCCGGTGCGTATTGGGCTTTCTCGACCTGCTCACCCAGGTTGCCATCAGCTCGGTCTCATCGCTCTCTTCTTGTACCTTTCGCCTTGTACTTCTTGTACTCTTTCTCCGGGTCGCATGCTTAGAGGCTTCTTCTTCTCCAAGGGCAAGTTCCTCTTCGACCTTGCAGTTCCTGCTGTCGCCGAGCGCCTGTCGCTCTTCCACTGTTCCTGGGATCATCATCATCCCGCAAAACGTTGCGAGGCTTCCCAGACAAACGCTGCTGTGAAGCGACACTTCACTTTCCTGACTACGGTTTCCTTGTAGCTGTACTTCTCCGGAAAACAAGCACCACACGCATCGTAGTTCCTGGTGTCGTTGTTCGCTGCCACGTGGGGGCAGGTGTTCCTGTGATACTTTCTTCCTCTCTTCGGAGCGATCATCAAGTCCGGCAAGTGGTTGATCCTTCGCACGTTGTGTTCCTGTTCTTCCTGTGTCCAAAGAGTCCACAGGGCACGAGCTGCGCAAGCCATGAGTGCAGCCACGGTCGTTCCTAGGACTAGTAGCATCATCGCTGCCAAGGTTCCTGGAGGCAGCTCCGCTACCATGTTAAAGAACGGGCTTCACTAAGCTTTCCTACTCACTCTCAAAGGCGGGCGGACACTTTTCCTGTCTGCGGAGTGTGTCCTGGTAGTCTTGAGCCTGCACGTCGCGAGTGCGTGACTGGCTGTTCCGACACATTAACTACACTGCACTAGCGGTGTTACTGTTCCTGGCACAATGTTTAACGTTTTAGCATTCCAGTGTTTTGTGATGTTCAGGCCATGAAACACTGTAATGCTCAAAAAAAAAACCAGCTTTTTTACAGCCTCCAAGCCCGCGAAACACTGTGATGCTCAAAAAATTCCGAAATTTTAAAGAATTTGCCCTCAGCCTGGCCATAGATGCCAGAGTTTTGGAATTTTTGGAGTGTTTCGTGAATTCTGGGCTTAGAAATTTTGGAAATTTTTGAGCATTACAGTGTTTGGTGTGCCCCGTGCATCAAGAACCACGATGGCGTGGATCTTGGGGGGGCGAGCATATATATATATATAAGTTATTGGTACGCATACCATTTGCACCCTTGTACATGACTTGTACATGTCGTATCAGGACCATCAAAGTGGACTCGTGCGATTCACTTGGCTCAAGCAAAATGGGCTTTGCTGTGCTTGTTTTGCTTGCATACATTGTGTCACATCGGTTCCCGTCGTGAACAGCCATATATATTCACATACATACGTTCATAGATACACACGCACATATATATATATATACACACACACGCATACATATGTACATGCATAGGCACATAGATACACACGCACATATATACATGTATATATACATACCCATGCATAAAAAATGTGTATATATATATGTATATGCATATATACACCCATCTTTCTATGTATATAGTTTTACGCATACATATGCATCGACTCAGCAGCAATGGGGGCAATTGCTGGCAACAAACAAGTTTGCAAGCGGGTGCGGGCAAATAGGGGGGCGGCGTAGAACTAGCGTCTATGAAATTCCATCGGGATTTCATGAGAACGGTCTGCCATTTTTATGAAGTTCTCAAAGATTTCATAAGAATGGTCTGGAGCACCCAATTCGTAGGGAAATCAGTAGAGTACAGGCAAGCGCTTACGTCATGGCCAAGTCGTTGCTTCGGGCTCTCCCCCCATGTACACGCAAGATTTCAAAATGCGGAAGCCCGTGTTGAGACTCGGAATGCAACTGTAAGTGGTGGCCCCCAAAATATGTTGATGTTAGGGTAGTCAACGATAACCCGTAACGATACCCTTTTCAAGCACAGATCTTCCAATCACAGGCCTTTGCCCGCTACTTATTAAGACGTGTACTACGGCACGAACGGACCTCTTCTCGGAATCCGAATGCCTCCGGCATATCACAGGACACCGAAAAACATTCCCCATGTAGACGCCTGATTCCAAAAGCACCCGCTCGGGACATATATCAGTGATCGTCAGCACCATCGCAGCACACCAGAAGCATTCATTCCCCATGTGCACGCTCCACTCCAGAAGCACCCGTTCGAGCCACATCAGTGATCATCAGTAGCATCGCAGCACACTAAAACCAGCCATTCCTCATGCAGACGCTCGATTTCAAGCACCTGCTCGGCAAACATCAGTGGTCATCAGCGGCATAACAGCACGCCAAGACCGGCCATTCCCAATGTATGCGCTCGATTCTGCAAAGATCGCTCAAGGACGGAGGTGCCTGTTCGCAGTGCAACTCCCAAGCGTGGACGCTCATCCATATGCGTTTCTCAACCAAGCTGGCAAGCGAAACACAATCTACACGCATGGTTCCAGTACTCGTCCAAACACCACTGATGTGCCTGACATGCTAAACACCATCTACACGCATGAAACGCAACGACTTCTTTGCGGAAACAACGACTTAAGCAGTTGCCTGTACCGTCTCTCTGTCTCTCTCTCTCTCTGTGTGTCTTTCTCTTTGTCTCTCTCTGTGTCTCTCTCTGTGTCTCTCGCTGTATCTCTCTCTGTGTCTCTCTCCCTGTGTCTCTCTCTACGCGTCTCTCTCTCTCTGTGTCTCTCTATCTGTCTCTCTCTCTGTCTCTCGCTCGCTCGCTCGCTTCAGGGGTCAGGTCCGCTGGACCTGAGCCGAGGCCCCCCCTTTCTTCACACGATTGTGGAAGAGGGGCATTGGGGTCATTGCAAATGGAGAGTTTCCCCGGCGGATTGTGTGGATGGCAGAGATTGCCTGGTAGGGACCCCCCCCTAACCCTTAACAGAACACTAGCCCGCATCCCGGCCTCGTCACCGCGCCCTCTCTGTCTCTGTCTCTCTCTGTGTCTCTCTCTGTGTTTCTCTCTGTGTCACTCTCTCTCTGTCTCTCTCTACGTGTCTTTCTCTGTGTCTCTCTCTCTTTCTCTGTGTCTCTCTATCTCTCTCTCTGTGTCTCTCTCTGTGTCTCTCGCTGTATCTCTCGCGGTGTCTCTCTCCCTGTGTCTTTCTCTACCTGTCTCTCTCTGCGTCTGTCTCTATGTGTCTCTCTCTGTGTCTCTCTCTTTCTCTGGGTCTCTCTCTATGTCGCTCTCTGTGTCTCTCTCTCTCTCTCTCTCTCTCGCTCTCTCGCTCTCTCTCTGTATCTCTCTCTATCCTTCTCTCTGTCCCTCTCCCTGTCCCTCTCTCTGTTCTTATCTCTGTCTCTCTCTCTCTCTGCCTCTCTGCGGTTACGTTATATGTGGGATTCTCGCCTGGATATAAGATGTGTGTTCAAATGTTCGAATGTAAGATCGAATGCGAAATTAGGTATTCAAACGTTCGTGCAATATCGAACGCGAAGTTAGTACAATGTTCCGCTTGTATGGGATTGCTAGGCATGGCCAGCCGTGCTAATACCGCGGAGCATCGTACGCCGCTGGACAGCGGCCCCCCCTAGTACCTTACAGAAACGTATAGGATACCTTTTAGCACATCATTTAGCGTTCCTCTAATACTTACAGAGGCTGCAGCAGCTGAGGTGGAATACCCAGTAGTAGAACACCGTACAGACCAGGATCAGGGGAACTCAGGAGAAGCCCAAGACCTGAGAATTCCCCAGTTTAATTGTAGCTTCTCGAGTAAGTGATGTCTATGAAGGACATTGACATCTATGAGAATTTCTTAAGGAGTATCTTCGTGAATACCGGCTCTGTATACCTAAACAATGTCATGTAGAATACCCTGCAGAATACATTATAGAACGTTGCGTTTCCTAAACTGCGCAACTTTAACTTCAATCCTCGTACCGAATGATGTTCCCACCGGTCCTGACGATCACTCATGCAGTCCCAAAGCCGACTCCAAATCACTTGAGACTCGATCTGCAGGGAGATGTTTGGTACACGCGCACACACCAGATGCCATTTCCCAACACCAGTCCCATTTGGCCATGTCAGCTGCAGAGTGAATTTGCGGATCCATTTCTTGGGTGTTTTCAGTGCTTTCGCGACATTTCACCCTAACGGACCCCAATTTCGGACAGATCGGTTTGCACTGTCTCTTCTTGCAAGTGACCTCTTAAACCTGTTGCACATTTTCTGCATGTTGCCAACTTTGTCGAGACAGCCCAGCCTCCGAGACAGACTTGCAGAGGAATTTCTTACATGTCACCCCTGTGTTGCGACACACTCCAGCCTCCCTAGCCCCCCTTTGTGACTTCAGGTATTTCCAAACGATTCTGGGGTTAGGAGCTTCTGGGCAATTGATTCTTCAGAAGTTGGGTGTGCAGTTCTTAGACAATCTTAGACAAGGAACTTGCAGTAGTAGGTAGACGCGGGAAGGCTGGTTGGTCCGCCAAACGTTTCATATCAGTCCTTTGCGTCTCCCTGCAAAGCTTAAGGAGCGAATGCTGCCTCCTGGCGCATCTCTTGGACCTCGCCTTGGACTTGGCGAATCCTCTGCTCCACCTGAGGCGGTTGCGGGCCCCCGCTCCCCGGCGGCCCGAGCTTCCGAGCTTCCGAGCTTCGGGCCAGGGCGGAGCTGCCGGGCAAATGCAGCACCTGCTCTGACGTGACGCGTCAGCTTTTTGAGGTGCTATTAGATGGCCGCGGCACAGCGTCCTTGCCCGACAGGGCCTCTGCCTCCACCTGCCCCCGCCCACGACGCATTGCGACAGGCCCTGCCCTGCCCTGCGCCTGGTCCAGGAGGGCCGTGGCGTTGCTTTGCAAGCTTTCTGCCTGCGCTGCTGAGCACGAGAAATCAGAAACCCCCCGGCCGCAACTCCGTGAAGAGGGAGCCTCCGAGGTCAGTGATGCGGCAGCAAGACCAACACCTTTGACGACGGCACGACCCCAATTGCAGTACAGCGGAATCGAGGAGCCGACCTAGAACCTTGTCCATTGAGGCTTTGAGGATGCTTGTGAGGGTCCCGTCGACTGCCTTTCCTTGCTGTGCGACGAAGCAGAGACTTTGCTGCAAGGCAAGGCGGGGCAGTTGCTCGCCGTCTCGGCCACGTTTGCCTCCGACCTCTGGAGCTTCCTTTGCGCCTGCGCCACGTGGAAGCACGCTTTGCGTCCGCTCAGCCTGACAGCCTGGCCGGGCCTCCCCCATTGCGCCAGCCAAGGAGACGTTTAAGCCGTGAAGCAGCTCTGCCCTGACGCAAGTCGTGCCATGCTGCGAGGACTCTACGTCTACGTCGCGTCGCCTCGCCTCACATGGTCGGAGGCATCGACCTGGCTCCAAACGTTTCCGCTGCGAAGATTTTGCTTTTCACTGAGGCTTCAGCTTTTCCCTGTATCTGCGCACGAGCCCCGAGTGCTGCAGTGAGGATCGCCTACGGAATGCTCAGGTGGCACCCGGCAAAAAGAACACCAGTCCGGGGAGTTCCAAGTACCTGCTGCATGTCTGCCTTCGCATTGACCAGCTGCACCTGACACTTCTCTTGCAAAGTGGCTCTGAGGATTTGGACGAACGTAGCTTCACCTGGCCAACTGGAGGCAGGGCCTGTCACGACAGACTGAACACAGCTGTTGACATTGATGCCATGAAGCTCTTCCTGCACCTCAGTCTCAAAGCTCCTGGTCCTTGTGTTCTCGGACTCCACCTGCCAGAAGCTTCGAAAACACTGACAGTTCCCTAACCCCAGGTGTTGCTAAAGTCGCCCACAAGTAGAGTTTTCTGGCAATGCATAACCAGCACGAAGCTCTGAGCATCGTCAAACTGGCTTTTACAAAATGCGGGCCTCGCTGATCCTGTTGGCGAGGCCATCGACTCTGGCGTTCAGTTGCCCAATCGCCTGTCAGGTTGGAGCCTGAGAGCTCTTGCAGGATTTCCCTGTCCTCGGTGCCTCTGCACTGGTCGATTCCTTCACTGCCTCTCAAGAAATCTCTCGTGTTTGTCAATCTGCGCATGCAAGCTACGAGCAACAGTGACACGGGCCTGCCGCTCAGGAAGATCCTTCTTGCTCAAAGTTTTCGCCAGATCATCTATCTTGTCGCTGATGTCGCGAAGCTGCGCCTGCCAATCAAAATCAGTGAGCCTGCCTTGGCTCCTGAGTGTCGGGCATGGGGGGAAGGCATTACAGTGATGTCGGATATGACAAGCTCAGGAGGCTCGCAAGACTGTTTGCCATCTACTGTCAATGGGAATCGTCTGAGGGCTGCACACTCTGGGTGGTGGAAGTGGCCTTCACCGAGAATTGAGGGATTGGAGCTCTGGGGAGAAGGCCTGTGGTTGGCATTCGCCGGCCTCTCGGTGCTCCGTGACCTCCTCGTCACCTGCAATGATCACCTTGACCTCCTGGGACGCCCTCCGGTCCACCGGCACCTCCTGGTCTGCCAGCGCCTGCCTCTGCGCCTGCAAAGCCAGGGAAAGCCTTTTTCTTCTCGCTAGCCTCTAGCTCTGGCTCTCTACAGGCCCTTTGCACCAAGGCCACGGCCAAGGGTCCCGCTTCTTGGGGAACCGTCGCGGTCGGAGCCATCGAACCCCATGGCTCTGCTGCAGAAGGCGAGGGTGCCTTGCTGAGAGTCGAAGCTGTGCTAAGATTCTGAAATGCCAGCGGGCATTGCCTTTGCTTGCTGGCTCTTGGACTCAACCTCAAGGAAGGCTTGAACAAAACCCATCCGGCGTCGCGAGCTAAAGCCTCCTCCAGCCGCCCAGCGAGGCCATCAACTTTGCCATACAGCTGCTTCACCACAGCCTGGCAAGCGACAGGTGGCGGCAGTCGGCAGGCCCTCCTGTTCGTGCCTCCAGAGCCGACGGCTGCTTTGCTGCGGCCTTCCGAAAGAACACAAGGGCCCTTGGCAGGCTTCTCGGCATGACATGCCTGTTGGATCCTGCTGGCGAGCTTGTCGATTTTGGCATCCAAATTTCTTATCGCGGCCTGGGGTGGCGAGTGTGCGACAAGCTAAGAACAAGATTGCTGTGAGTGTTGACAGCTTTTGTCAAGCAAAGGTTCGCATCAGCTGTAGCATGGACCAACAACAAGCCGGTTGAAGAACTTCGTTCGATTTTGACAAACCGCTGGTCCGGCTGACCCAACTGATTACGATTGCACCAAAACACGACATACTTGGTCGACTTCCGAATACCAACGGCTGATAACGTACGTGAGGGTTTGGTATCGATGATACGATGACGGATGCTCACCTCACCGAGCTGTTGGTCGATGCTGTGGTTGCCTCGTAGAATGTAGTACTCGTGGCTGACAACTTTATACCCTCTCGCTCACTGCGTTTCTACGCACAGGCACGCTCGCAGAAGATTGTTTGGCTCGTACACGTTCAGCGAGTGGTCCGTGCACGGGGAATGGCTCACGTCTCTTGGGGTCGAAACCAGAAATTAAAGATAGAGTTTAGCTTTTTGGCAGTACGAGCGTGAGCTCGTTCTTGAGCTTCAAGTTGCGATTGAGGCGGAGCATTTGTAGAAGGGTTGTGCGGTCCGCAAAGCGGTCCCGCAAGGAATGTCCACAAGGTGGTACCTCACACTATGTACATGGTGTGACCATGACATCGTGACACCAGACGAATCGATCTAGGCATCGAGATCGGTTCGCACACGTTTTTTTACAGAACGTTTAACAACTAAATTTAACAAAACATCCAAAACACTAGAATACAAACGTTTTAAAGGTTTGAACGACGTTTCAAAAAAAAAGAATGGCTCGTCAAGCCTTACAGAAATGTAGCGACGAAAACAAGGCAACAATAACAACAATCAGCCTTCAAATCTTATGCTAATTTTCACTCCACTTCCAATATCAATCTTTCAAGTTTTAAGGGTTTATACACTCCACTTCCAATATCAATCTTTCAAGTTTTAAGGGTATATAGTATTGAAATTTCAAAAAAACGCTCAAACGATCGCAAACAAGAGCGTGGAAGATTCAATAACAGCTAATTTAATATTTGAACATGCTGAAGAAGAAGAAATATATATAGCATACCATGGGAAGCAGAAAATACAATATATTAAACGTAGAGGACTTAAACGATACAATAAAGAATGTGACAACATGGCAAGTGATATTGCATTTCTTAGTTGAACACAGAGACCTTAAACGATCAGGATTAAAAGCTAAGACGGCTAACGACATCACAATTCATCATGGCAAATGCGACCCAACCAGAGCAGGCAAATTTACAGAACCACCCGGTGGGCCCCCCGGTTTACAGAGATTACTTTAAGATACAACAGACTCAGCTTGGACCAGTTGAGATTAATTATGAATTAATTAACCTATACTATTCGACGGACCCTCCAACGAAGAAACCAACGCCGACGCTTTCGGGAATACACTTAAATAACTTAAGTACACCAGCAAGAAGCATGATGCACCGGCACCTCACAGAACATTTCACGTACAGTTTCAAGAACAAGAGCCTTGTAGTGAAATTGCTCGGGACACTGAGGAACCCAGAGAACACAAGGAAAGCCTTCGGCGGAGGGAGACTGGGTTGTGCGACCTGACGGAGCAGAAAAACGACGAGCTGTTCTAGAGGCATGGCCAATGGCTGACACGTGGCTTGAGAGCCAAGGGTCCCGCTTCTTGGGGAACCGTCGCGGTCGGAGCCATCGAACCCCATGGCTCTGCTGCAGAAGGCGAGGGTGCCTTGCTGAGAGTCGAAGCTGTGCTAAGATTCTGAAATGCCAGCGGGCATTGCCTTTGCTTGCTGGCTCTTGGACTCAACCTCAAGGAAGGCTTGAACAAAACCCATCCGGCGTCGCGAGCTAAAGCCTCCTCCAGCCGCCCAGCGAGGCCATCAACTTTGCCATACAGCTGCTTCACCACAGCCTGGCAAGCGACAGGTGGCGGCAGTCGGCAGGCCCTCCTGTTCGTGCCTCCAGAGCCGACGGCTGCTTTGCTGCGGCCTTCCGAAAGAACACAAGGGCCCTTGGCAGGCTTCTCGGCATGACATGCCTGTTGGATCCTGCTGGCGAGCTTGTCGATTTTGGCATCCAAATTTCTTATCGCGGCCTGGGGTGGCGAGTGTGCGACAAGCTAAGAACAAGATTGCTGTGAGTGTTGACAGCTTTTGTCAAGCAAAGGTTCGCATCAGCTGTAGCATGGACCAACAACAAGCCGGTTGAAGAACTTCGTTCGATTTTGACAAACCGCTGGTCCGGCTGACCCAACTGATTACGATTGCACCAAAACACGACATACTTGGTCGACTTCCGAATACCAACGGCTGATAACGTACGTGAGGGTTTGGTATCGATGATACGATGACGGATGCTCACCTCACCGAGCTGTTGGTCGATGCTGTGGTTGCCTCGTAGAATGTAGTACTCGTGGCTGACAACTTTATACCCTCTCGCTCACTGCGTTTCTACGCACAGGCACGCTCGCAGAAGATTGTTTGGCTCGTACACGTTCAGCGAGTGGTCCGTGCACGGGGAATGGCTCACGTCTCTTGGGGTCGAAACCAGAAATTAAAGATAGAGTTTAGCTTTTTGGCAGTACGAGCGTGAGCTCGTTCTTGAGCTTCAAGTTGCGATTGAGGCGGAGCATTTGTAGAAGGGTTGTGCGGTCCGCAAAGCGGTCCCGCAAGGAATGTCCACAAGGTGGTACCTCACACTATGTACATGGTGTGACCATGACATCGTGACACCAGACGAATCGATCTAGGCATCGAGATCGGTTCGCACACGTTTTTTTACAGAACGTTTAACAACTAAATTTAACAAAACATCCAAAACACTAGAATACAAACGTTTTAAAGGTTTGAACGACGTTTCAAAAAAAAAGAATGGCTCGTCAAGCCTTACAGAAATGTAGCGACGAAAACAAGGCAACAATAACAACAATCAGCCTTCAAATCTTATGCTAATTTTCACTCCACTTCCAATATCAATCTTTCAAGTTTTAAGGGTTTATACACTCCACTTCCAATATCAATCTTTCAAGTTTTAAGGGTATATAGTATTGAAATTTCAAAAAACGCTCAAACGATCGCAAACAAGAGCGTGGAAGATTCAATAACAGCTAATTTAATATTTGAACATGCTGAAGAAGAAGAAATATATATATATATAACATACCATGGGAAGCAGAAAATACGATATATTAAACGTAGAGGACTTAAACGATACAATAAAGAATGTGACAACATGGCAAGTGATATTGCATTTCTTAGTTGAACACAGAGACCTTAAACGATCAGCATTAAAAGCTAAGACGGCTAACGACATCACAATTCATCATGGCAAATGCGACCCAACCAGAGCAGGCAAATTTACAGAACCACCCGGTGGGCCCCCCGGTTTACAGAGATTACTTTAAGATACAACAGACTCAGCTTGGACCAGTTGAGATTAATTATGATTAATTAACCTATACTATTCGACGGACCCTCCAACGAAGAAACCAACGCCGACGCTTTCGGGAATACACTTAAATAACATAAGTACACCAGCAAGAAGCATGATGCACCGGCACCTCACAGAACATTACACGTACAGTTTCAAGAACAAGAGCCTTGTAGTGAAATTGCTCGGGACACTGAGGAACCCAGAGAACACAAGGAAAGCCTTCGGCGGAGGGAGACTGGGTTGTGCGACCTGACGGAGCAGAAAAACGACGAGCTGTTCTAGAGGCATGGCCAATGGCTGACACGTGGCTTGAGAGCCAAGGGTCCCGCTTCTTGGGGAACCGTCGCGGTCGGAGCCATCGAACCCCATGGCTGTGCTGCAGAAGGCGAGGGTGCCTTGCTGAGAGTCGAAGCTGTGCTGAGATTCTGAAATCCCAGCGGTTATTGCCTTTGCTTGCTGGCTCTTGGACTCAACCTCAAGGAAGGCTTGAACAAAACTCATCCGGCGTCGCGAGCTAAAGCCTCCTCCAGCCGCCCAGCGAGGCCATCAACTTTGCCATCCAGCTGCTTCACTACAGCCTGGCAAGCGACAGGTGGCGGCAGTGCCAGTCGGCAGGCCCTCCTTTTCGTGCCTCCAGAGCCGACGGCGGCTTTGCTGCGGCCTTCCGAAAGAACACAAGGGCCCTTGGCAGGCTTCTCGGCTTGCGTTAACCAAGCCCAAGTGCGTGACAGGCTTGTCCACATGAGTAAAAAGCCCATCGATTTGGGAACGAAGCGCCAAACTCAAGGCAAAAGCGCCGGTCTGGTCAGTCAGGATCGTCGTAACATGCCACAGCTACAGGAATCCTTCATCACCTGGTCCATATTTGTTGCCGAGGAAATTCCAGCAATTCTATCTGTGTCTACGAAAATCAAACCCTTCCTCCTCATACAGATGCTGTCTGTCGTAGGTCTCACTGCAGGGTGCCTCGTGGATCTTGCTGGCGAGCTTGTCGACCTTCGCGTCCAAGTGCTTCATCACGGCCTCTGGCATCAGTTTGCTGGAGAGGGACTGTCGAATCCTTCTAAATCAGCCTCCGCAACCGATGGCTCCTGGCTCTTTCCAGCCTTTCAGATTGCCACACAAACCATCAGATCGGAGACGAGGTGCCTAAACAGAAGGGACCTTCGCGTTACATGCATGGCAGGCACATGCCATCGCACAGTGCCTCTTGGATCTTGCTGGCGAGCTTGTCGACCTTCGCGTCCAAGTTCTTCATCACGGCCTCTGGCATCAGTTTGCCGGAGAGGGACTGTCGAATCCTTCTAAATCAGCCTCCGCAACCGATGGCTCCTGGCTCTTTCCAGCCTTTCAGATTGCCACACAAACCATCAGATCGGAGACGAGGTGCCTAAACAGAAGGGACCTTCGCGTTACATGCATGGCAGGCACATGCCATCGCACAGTGCCTCTTGGATCTTGCTGGCGAGCTTGTCGACCTTCGCGTCCAAGTTCTTCATCACGGCCTCTGGCATCATTTTGCCGGAGAGGGACTGTCGAAACCTTCTAAATCAGCCTCCGCAACCGATGGCTCCTGGCTCTTTCCAGCCTTTCAGATTGCCACACAAACCATCAGATCGGAGACGAAGTGCACAAATAGAGTGGCTTGCCATAGTTCGACAAGTCTTGTGATGTTTGTGCCATTCGCAAAATGCCTCTTGGATCCTGCTAGCGCCTCTGGCAGCAGCTAACAGGCAAAACATTGCTGTCTGCCCGTCTAGGTGTTTCTTGCATCCGCCGGCATCTCCTCACGCACGGCAACCTTGCATCCGATTGCCCCCAAGATCCTTCATCCTTGTGTGTTTGAAAAGCGAGAGCCGAGGATTTTACAAACGGTTGTTGTATTGAAAATCACCGTGCGGTGCTTTCACATGCAGCTTTCACTGTCAAGGGCGACAGATGACTTTGGGTGAACCTGTTATGGGCAACTGCAAGCACGGTGCTTCTAAAACGCTTCCGTGGACTTGCGACAAGCTGATGCTACAAAGACGAGGGGAGCAAACAGCTGCAGAACACATTTGCCAGGGAAAGCCGGAACACATGCCCTGCATCTGAATGTTCTAGACCGCTGAGTTTGCTGTGTATAGTCACATCTTCGCTTTTTAGTGTCCGGCGGATTTGAAGCCCCGAGTGGCCGCGGTGGGAAGGAGAAGGTGCAGCCCGAGCCCCGTTTTTTTGACATGGCCATATGTCTCGCATGGCTCCGAGAGGGGGAAGCCGGCACAAACACCTGCGTGCTGGTGCAAGCAAGCACCCCAAAAGCATCTCTGCTGAGATCATCGTGCTGCTTTTCAGAAGCCACCGCGCCACCCCACCACCCCTCCTTATATAAACAAGAATCGCTTCTTCAACGGCTATCATCAAACTTCTTCTAACCAGAATGAAACTCAAGCTACTCTGCTACTTGGAACATGAATGCCGAGACAGGCTTGCCATCATACAAGAGCAACCCCCCCGACGACACCGATAGCAATGAAATCTACGTCGCTGTTTCTAGCTCGCTGTACGGGTAACCAGCCGAGCACCGGGCAGGCCGACCAGCCAGGGCCGGCCGGGCAGGCACGGCCACATCGGCCACAGGTGAAGGCAGTGCTGGCGCTGGCGCTGGTCGCTGAGCGGGCTGTCGCTTGGCCGGGGCCGGAGCTGCAGGCACCGCAGGCACCTCGCAGAAGCAGCTGGCAAGAAGAACCCGTCCTGCCCACCCTTCTCCGCATTCACGGCAGCCTCGCCGTGCAGCGCCTGCTTCCGTTACGGCCAAGTGGTAACAGTTTGAAGAGTGTGAAACAGAGCGCAATAGACTCCAGAGAGCCTGATGGATGTCGTGGGCCGTGACATCGGAAAGGCCGTGAAAGGAGCGAAGAAATGCCTCAGAGGCTCTGACTTCAATGGCGGGAGGAATCAGCAAGCATGATGGTTATTGCAGTATGCGGCATATTATATCTCATGACAGTGCACTCAATACTCGATGCGCACATCAACAGGCGAGGCTGTGCGAGTCTTTGAGGAGGATGTGCCCAAACCGCCACAGAGGCCCCACAATATCAATGCCCATCTGTGTTCGAGACCGAGTCTTCTCGGCTGTTCCATTCAAGCGTCCAGACTTTGATCCTAAATGGCTGGTAATGCTTTCCATCTTCTTGTGATGTGTTGTGGTGTGTAACCCTGCTTGTCATAGTTTTAGTTGGCAAGATGTTGCAATCGCGGCCTTCTGGGCCTTCACATCTGCCACGCGTGCCAGTGTGGAGACCTTTCACAAGAGGGCCCCATTTGGGGAGGTCTCTGTGGCCTGGCTGCTGGTCTTTGCGGCCTCCACCGGCGGTGGATACGTCACCGTTGGAAATGCGGTGCTAGGATGCCAGTGGAACTTTGACCTCAGACGACATGGCAGACAACATGCAGATCGCATGCTCCCTCCGCTCCTGAGACCACCACGAAGGTGTGCACGGCTGCCCATCAAGCGTCAACTGAGAGTTGCAGACAATGGCCCCAGTGCCCTTATGCAGGAGCCTTAACTTGGTGGCCTCATCAAGCTTGCTAGTCTGCTAAGTCTGCTGGTCAAGCTTTCTGCCATTTACCCTTCGCCACAATCCTCACTTCGAAGTCGGAAGATGGTTTTTGCGAGTGTCGCATTTGGAAAGACTGCTTGTCACAGCACATGACGCTGAAAAGGGTGGCATCTCGAGACTCTGGCCCAACCCTCGAGCGGGTCGTGTTCGAAGACGTCTTGCAACAGCGCAGCCTCTCAACAGAACTCCAACGAGGCATTGACCCGGGGGGGCAGAGCCGGCATGGCCCGCACCCGTGCCTCGTCGTGTGTCAGAGAGACCTGCAGAGATGCGGAGCTGCGCCGCGACGCCGCGCGACGCCGCGGGCCGCGCCTTGCGGTACTGGCAGCCATGGCCATAGCCATGCGCAGGGCCATCGCGGGGATCTTCGGCAGGGCCGAGTCTCGGGTTCGCCGAAGCGCTCGCCGAAACAGCGCTCGCCGAAACGGCCTGCAGTAGCCAGGCTTTAGAACGGCGTTCAAAGGCTCTAATTGGCCGCAGCGAGGCGCCTCTGCAAGAAAGAGGGCCAATATCATCATCTCCCCTTGCTTTTTTCTCGGGGTCCACTGTCTCGGCGGCAGGCCGGCAAGTCGGCAGGCCCGTTCCTGGCTACATTTCGCGCATCACCTGAGCCGTAAGCAAGTCTGAGAACTCCTGTCAGTCTAAACGCACCTTGTGATGAAACCCTCGTATCCCAGAGATTCAGACATTCCTAAGACTTCTTGTCGTTGGGGAGCGGGCAGCTGCTGCTCGTTTCGGGCGCAGCTGGGATTTGAGCCCAGTACGAGGCGGCCCGGAAAGGAGTCAAAAGAGGCATAATAAGGCTGGGCTGGCGGACTGGCAGAGCCTGCAGGGTGCTTTGACTTTGGACGCTAAGTCTGCTGGGTGCTTCCTCGGACGACAGCTTTCACCACCGAGAGGGGTCGTCACGGTCGAATTACGCTGGCCCTTCACGCTTAGAGCGAGGGGAACTCGGCTTCGTAAGTCGTCAGGACGTACCTCGCTCGAAGCGCTCGCGGCACCAGACTGCCATGTCTGTCTAGTCTGTCTCTGCCCCCCCCCCCCCCCCCCGGCCTGGAGCTTTGAACGGACCTTGGGCTCGGCCACACACACAGGGTAACAGCGCCGTGCCCAACGGGCCACGCACGTCTCGGCTGGAGCCAAACGGGGAGCCTCTGTGTCGAAGCCCGGAAGGATGGGACCAGGGTAGGCTAGGCTAATGCTGGTCAGATTCGCCGATTCGCCTAGTGTTGGCTGAGTTTTTCGTTGTCCTTTTCTCGAAGTCACTGTCACGGCTCCAGCGACTCTGTTCTAGGACGACGGTCTTAACGGCTTTTTCGTCTTCTCCAAATTTAATGACATACCCGGCACAGCCGTCAGCCATCATGTTGCATCCCCAATTGCCAAACCGTCCTCGGGAGCAAGCTGCAGTCAGAAATGAGATTTCTACTGGGTTCGAGCCCATGTCTATCTGGGTTGAGGAAAAGGCAGTCCTTCTTCAGTTCTGCAAATCAACACAAGAGCACTTTCACTCCGGAATGACGACAACAAGTTGTACTCATCGTTGGACACTGGGGGGAGCTGCTTCATTTCTCGCTGCAGCGCCATTTTGGGATTCAGATACCGGCAAAGGGGAAACCCTCAATGGCTTGGCTGCCGACGTATCGATGAGGATTGCGATCATAGTCCTATGAGCCGCGAGATGGTCTGCCGCAGAACCCACCTGCCCACCTGCATGAGTCTCAGGTTCCAGCAGGATCGTCTGCATCAGTCACACGCAGTCGGCTCCTGTCCTTGCATCCAACAGCGAACAGCGAAGCATGGCATACCGAGGTCCACTTGCGGTGAGAGCAGGGCGTTGTTGGGTGGCGGCTGTCGTGGGCCTGTCGCTTCTGTTCGGACGGCGGGAAGCGCTCGATTTTTTGCGCCGAGGGCTGAGGGCCGGTACCGCCTCGTCCTCTGCCGCGACCACGCCCACCGCGTTCTGACATCGAAAAACAATCACCCGCACACAGATCTTGATTCACGGCTTAGTTTTATGGTGGTAGCATTACACGGAACTCCATTCGGCTGGCAGATTGGCCAAACACGTGTTTTTTCCTCCTCCTGCCTGCATCACATTCCTGGCTCCAAGACGGTGCTGAAGAGCCGGCACCGGTCGGGCCGTGCCAGAGCACGCAGTTGTTTGTTCGGATCGCCGCGGTGTGCTCCTGAGAGCTTCACTTCCGCGAGTGGAAGCGTGTGCGCCTGCGCATGCCTGCGTTTGTCCGCACGCAGGACCGCGCCGGGACTGCGGACAAAGTGCTCTTTCACAGGGTTCCTGGCATGTCTGCAAGCATTTTTGGGCTTCATGCCTGCCGTGTCTCCGAAGATGCGCGCTCTTGCGGCGGCATACTCTTCCTCCTCGGCTGCAGGGTTCTCCATGGCTGCACGCAGTCGATGTTCTGAGATATGCACCTTCTGCTTCAGCGTCTTCGCCGGGGTGGTGGCCTCTCAAAGCAGCAGCGCGCATGAGTTGCTTGCGTTGCTTTCTGTGAGGCACTGCGAGGCGCATGCGCCTTCCCTGGGCCGTGCCTTCTCGTCGCTTCGCTCCAGGCCTTCCTCTGGCTTCGGTCGCTGCAAAAGCTTGGGCCCAGTGGGCGCCTTTCAGGAACAGCCCGGGACTCAAGGAAAACTGTAGCCAGGGAGGGATAAAAACTCACACTTGAGGGTCATGCGAGGACTTTCACGTCGCTCACGTCGCTCTCGCTGCTCTGCTCATTCCGTGTGTTAACGCTCGGCCTCCGCTCTTGCGGTTCAGCAAGCAAAGGCCCCATCTACCCCATCTTTCAGGCCTGGATACCGTCTGGGCTCTGTCCGTGAGCCAGTCGTCCATCCTGTAGCAGACATGTCTGCAACTTGGGCGAACTGGGCAGAAGGCCGCAAGCCTGGCAGGGAAAAGGAACACACTGTGGATGTGTGGATCGTCAAGGGTACGTACATACATACACATACATACACATACATATATATGCATAAATACATATATATATATATATATATATATATACACACAAAATATTTTATGTATGTGTGTATATACATGTATATCTTTCAGCATTCGATGCTACATGGTGTTCCGTCTGCTGACATATTATATATATATATGTATAACATATACGTACATATACACACACATACATACATACATATATATATATATATATATATATATATATATATATATATTCGTAACTCTAACGGCGCCTGCATCTTCTGAGCCTAACGGCTGATATGGAGCATGATAACCGGAATGTGACATGGGTGGCAGTTGCAACCAGATACAAGCCGCTATTGACGCTGCCAGCTTTTTCGCTGCATCTTCACAGATCTGCTAGGGAAATTTGAAGCTTGGCACCTCAGAAGTCAGACCAGTCACCCGCCAGTCACCCGTGAACACGTGAACAAAGACAGGAAAGAAGCATCGGCCTCTGTGTAGCTGTAGGGAACCTGCCACACCAACTCCAAACTGCAAGCTCCCAGCTTGTGCTCCGAGCCGTGTGCCTTCACCCCCTGCTTGTAAGGGAACAAGCTTTCTTGGATGCTGTCGAAGGTGTCTACGATGGATTGCTTCACTGGGTAGATCGCATACTCCTGCCCGTGCACGGGCCGGGATCCCTCGGACTTGCTATTAGAAGGGCTTGCGGCTTGCTGATCTGACCTTGGTGACGCGCCAGCATGCGGAGCAGCATGCGATAATGGAGGTGATGATGGTGGCCTGGGTCAATTCTCCTGTGAAACTTGCTTCAGCGCGCGCAAGACTGTAAGTGTAAACTAGCAGCAGATATGTGAATTCCCAAATGACTGAAAACTCAAAGCGCATCCATCAGAGGATGTTTTACTGCAAGCGTGCCGTCCTGGACTCAAGGCCTTAAGAAGACAACAGCGACGGGCGTTCACAGATGGGAGCAGGTGCAACAGGAAAAGTAAAGGAACATCTAGGATTGACAGCCCCCTGAGAATTGAAGCTTTCGTGATGCCTTGCTCCAAGGTTTCTTGCTTGATCTGAAAGGAAGCTGCTTTCAAAAGCTTTCCAAAGGCTCAATGTGAGCTCCGGGAAACTTTGTCAAAGCATCTGAAGGATGAAAATTATATGTGGTACCCATCTCACACGCCCCTTGCAAATGGAAAGGCTTTCGCGAATCACCTCAGCTTCCAGGTTGGATCTTTCACACTCACCCGAAGTGTTGCTGAGCAAGGTGTCGAAGAGGAACTTCGCGTCAATGATCACCACGCTGTTGGGGTCACGGTAGAGGTGGGCATCACAGTGGTCTTGCCCTGCAATTCAAGGCAAATCTCCTCGTTCCTCTGGTGTTGTCGAGATTGGTAGCTGGGCAACCGCATAGTATCCCAAAGCGGTCTTGGCCGGTTTAGATAGTCTAGATGGTTTGGGGGGTGGGCGGGGAGCCCAAACCAGCTAAACCAGCTAAACCGTCTAAACCAGATGGGTTTAGATGGTTTAGCTGGTTTAGCCGTTTTATCTGGTTTAGCTGGTTTGGGCTAGTCCGGGCAGGCCGGTTTAGATAGTCTAGATGGTTTGGGGGGCCGGGCGAGGAGTCCAAACCAGCTAAACCGTCTAAACCATCTAAACCAGGTGGGTTTGATGGTTTAGACGGTTTAGCTGGTTTAGCTGGTTTGGGCTAGTCCGAGCAGGCCGGTTTAGATAGTTTAGATGGTTTGGGGGGCTGTGCGGGGAGCCCAAATTATCTAAACGGTCTAAACCGAATCCTCCGTCCGGCCCTCCGGTACTCCACCAATCTGTCCAAAGTATCTAAACTAGGTAAATAGTTGCGCGACGCCCGGTGTTACAGGGTGTGTGGTTTCGCGACGCCCGGTGTTACAGGGTGGATGTTTCCGCGACGCCCGGTGTTACAGGGTGGATGTTTCCGCGACGCCCGGTGTTACAGGGTGGTTGTTTCCGCGACGCCTGGTGTTACAGGGCGGGTGGTTACAGGGTGGGTGACCGGTGGGTGGTTCCGCGACGCCCGGTGTTGCAGTTAGCGATGGCCGGTTCCATTTAGGTTATAGTATCGTCAAGCCCCCGCATTATCACCCAAATGTTCACAATTCGTGTAATCCCTTCCCCCTAATATTAAACCGCTCCCCCCCCCCCTCCCTAATATAAAAACTGGATTTCGGAGGTTTAGTTTTTATATTAGGGGGGGTTTCGGCTCGGTGCATCCACGTACCCGGACTCCCAGCTGCTAGCTATCCTAGGCCTGGAGCCCTACGAAAGCCCTAAGCCCTAAGCCTCCAGCCCTAGACCCCAAAGCCCTGAGCCCTAGACTTTAAGCCCTAAAACCCCAAGCCCTAACGCTTTAGCCCTGAGCCCTAAACCCTTAAACCTAAAGCTCTGGTGTCTTTAGTACAGGTGTAATCTTTGGCTCTATAAAGTCCTGAGCCCTAAAGCTTTAGCCCCTTAAACCCAAAAGCTCTGCTGTCTTTAGTACTACTGTAGTCTTCGTTCAATTAAAACACATACAGATCTGCCACCCCCCTAATGTTGTCCCTTTTAAATTGAATGTGGGGCCCGAAACCGCGAAATTCCGGGGGCCGGAAGTTTTTATATTAGGGGGGGGTTGAGTGTTAGGGGGAAGGGATTACCCCCCCTATGAATATCCAAAGAATCATAAGAACATCCCCCTATCTCTACCCATCCCCTTGTAAATCCATATTCCCCATCATACATCCCCGATACCCTATGATAAACCTAAATGGAAATGGCCATCTTCTCATGATTTGTAAGTAAGATCCATAATGAAGTTATAATCTGTGATAGCCTGAGGATTATAACTTCATTATATTTATGAATGCACTATCCTATATAGTGAAGCATATGATGCCTTTTAGGTGTTTGCCGTCATTGCTTTCGGTTGGGCAACATCAACAGGAAGTTCAATGATTATTCGGTCTTTATGTTTGCCAAACAGCAGAATGTAATCTTCGAGAAACTCATCGTTCATAAGCAATTGATGAACGTGATTGAATACTGTATTCATATCTGGCTTATGTTGTTCAGGATTCGGTTTTGGTTCTACTTTTTCCTCTTCATCAACAAATTTGTTAGGAAACTGTTTGTTTAATCGTTTGCGTATTTCCAATTTTTGTTTGCTGTATTCCGCCTTAATTTGCTCTTGTATTCCATCGCTTAGTCTACCTTCTGTTTTCAAGTCTCCCAGCCTTCTCAAATACCCTTTCATCAATATATTTAATTCTGAGTTCGGGTGTAACGCATAATGCAAATGGGCATCCCAGTTCTCGCATCTAATTCTGCGCCCGCATTCTCCACATAATCGGCTTCCCTTTGCTCTCTCCTCTCTCCTTATTTGATTGTGTTCATTCTTGTTCTTCTCATAGCATTTTCTTTTCGCTTTACGGCACATATTACACGTCTTAAACCCGTCGAACTCTTCAACAACCTTTGATGCACAGCACGATTTACATAATCTCTTTTCCATCTTGACATACAAAAAAGTCTAGTCTTTAGACATGGTTAGACCAAAAGTACATCTTCTGATATTTTAACTAATATTAAAACATTTATCGGGGACTGCATGGGGGCTCTCTTCTCCTTCTTCCGAAAGGACGAGACAAACTAATTAAACCATTACCTTTGTTCTTATGGCATGCTTATGGTAAATGCAAACTGTACGGTGTCTGGGGCACTACCTGTCAAATCACTATACACATCTATTTTTAAACTGTTTCACTAATGCTTCTATCTGATAAAACTCGAACAACAATTTACATCTTGCCTTATACTCCTCATGATGGTAATAATCCTCCAACTCATCTATATTAGCACTTTATCTAGCACTATATTTCTTATGTTCCTTCGTTCCTCTAACCAATCCTTTCTAACATCCTCTTTTTCTTTCTTAGGAAATAAACACTCCATATTTATATTATAGAAATTTCTTGCTAATTTTCAGTTTCAAATCATTCAGTTCAACTTCCAACGTTTCTATGTCCTTCTTAATGACTTCAATATGAGTTTCAGTCGCTTCTATTGTCTGCTCACATTGCTCATGTGTTGTACCATGGTTTCCAAAATTAGTATCCCAGATGTCAACACTTCCTACTTGATTGCCAGTTTCAAAAATCCCGTTTTCATCAGGACTAACATTCCTCCCACCAAATTTTAAGTTCCGTCTATCTTCTACAATATTTGTTGTTATAATGTTGTTTTCTTTTGTTGTTTTAGTTTCCTTATGCTGTGATTGTCTTTCACAGTTGCAAGGTATACAAGATACGCCTTTAGAATTTATGAAAAGGCCCTTTTTCTTTTCGCGTTCAGTTATATCGCTCATTTATATTATTTAGATTTTTTATGATTCTTCAAACAAATAATAACTGCTCTAACAAACCCCAATGATAAATAGCAACATCGTTTCATTTTGATATATTTTATTACCTGCTCCTCTATTGCCTCCAAACCGTTTATTGTTTCAACATAAATATTATAATTTTCATCCATTTGTATAATTATAACGACATTTTCTTATTGAATATAATGAGTGATGATATCCCTAAAGTAGAACCAATCGACATACCCGAAGATAAGTTTGAAAACAGTAAATTTGATATGATGCCCAAATTACCAGCGCGGATGCTATGTGTTGCTTCTTCAACAGGTGGTAAAACAGTATTGATCCAAAATCTCATATTAACATCTACAGAGGATCTTTCGAGAGGATGTACATATTTTCACCCAGTGTTCATGTGGATGACGCATGGACACCTGTTAAGAAATACATAACTGAGGTGATGAAGGTGGACGCAGAAAAAGAAAAACTCTATTATGAAGAATTTGCATTAAAGAAGATTATTGAAACCTAATTGATTTCCAAAAGAAGAACAAACAGAAGGATTTATTCAGTATTTTAATAGTGGTGGATGACCATGCGGACGACCCAAAATTTGTAAGATACTCAAGTTCATTACACGGGTTATTCACGAGGGGTCGCCATAACGGCATCTCATGCATTTTATCCAGGCAGAAGTATAATGTGTTGGCCCCGATCATTAGGCTAAACGCATCTGCTTTGTTTATTTTTAGACTGAAGAACATGAACGAAGTCAATGCATTTTTAGAACAGAATTCCGCATTGGTGGACAAAAGCACGCTATATGAGATGTATCAGAAAGCCGTGAATTTTGCTCACAAACACCGATGCTAAAGATGTTAGTAACATGTTCTTCATTAACTTTGAACAACGCTTTGAAATAGGAGATAGTTGATAATATGTTAATAATATTATTACTAATTAAAACAATGATACTGGACAACAGTGTAAAGTAGTAAACCTGAAACATGGGCATTTCCTTGTCTTCTTTAGTGCTTCTACTTTCTTTTCCTCTTCTTCCAATTTTTGTAATAGGTCTTTCATAGCATGTAAGTTAGCAGTTAATAATATATCCGTTTCCGATATTTCCCTGTTTTCTGTTTTATTAATTCCATACAAACTTTGTTCTGATCTTCGAACTCACACATATATAACAACATATATCAATTTTAATCGCTATCGTTACTACCTTTTACTTTCTTTTTCAACTTTGTTATTTCCCCTTTCAGGGTGGCCATTTCCTTTTTCATTGCTTTGAACAAATCTTTAATTTCTCCGTCATAATTCAGAGCATATCGTAAAGCACTGCATGAAATTGGGGTAGTCATAGAATAGTCAAACCTTAAATATCCGTCCCTTCCCTTTCTAACGATATTACTCCATTCTTCGGGGAAGCCTTTATAATCCATCATATCGTTGGCAATAAACCCACAACACGACCTGTCAGCGCATTTTTCTGCATCAATAAACGTATATGTTTTAGGAACAAAATATTTTACCAACTCTACTGCTTTCTTTGAATTGATTTCTGTTATGTCTTTCTTCTGTCTTTGATCACTGCTTGGCCAAATAGATCCTGTATAAGAAATGTCGCCTATAATATCAATGCCGTCTGTCGTAACCGTCAAAACATTTTTCGTTCCTATTTCGGTTATTGTCTCACCGTCTGTATCTGGATTTCTCAAAAATATTTGTTCCACTGCTCCTACTGCTGTTTGATGTGGAATACTAAACTTTTCGTAGAAATGAACTGAACTACCTAAGACACGAAACTCGGGAGAACCAGTAGCACCAATATCTACACGAAATTCATTCTCTGTTGATAAACTACCTATTACATCAAGCTTTTCATTACAAGTGGTAGGTTTGCTTAATGTAATACCTGCAACATCATTCAATTGTAAAAATATTTCTGACGATTGTCGGTCGGCGTTCCTATTATATGCTTTGTATTGAAAAATTTTGTTCATTTGTTGATATAAAGTTTAATGAGAAAGTAGTGTTTCCTTGTTGGTGTATTCTTCCTCTGCTATTAACTAAAACCTCGTTACTAAAGGTTTTTGATGCTTGAAAACTTACATCTCCATCAAAATTAGAATTGCCACCACCGACTGATAGCCTATTGGCACCAGCAAGAACACCAATACCTAAATTATGTAGATAAACTCCACCATTAATAGCTGTATTTAACAGTAGTAAGCTTGGGCTATCGCTAGAAGTACTATAAGCATTAATTTTTTAATGAATGCATCATTATGTAGCCAGGCGCGTTCTTGACTTGAAAAACATTACTGGCGTCTGTCGTAGCCTTAAATACTTCAATGCCATTACCATTTGTTGAAGTTATTGTATCTCCGCCCATTGTAATATTATTATCAACTTCTAAAGTAATTATCTACTTTGGTAGCTCCGCCCACTGATAAAAAAATAACCGCTTTCGGTTGCTTCTCCTGTTCCTACTTCTGCACTTGTTAAGCTTCCTAATCTCATCCTGTTAGAAAGAAGCACTATCATCATTTAAGATTAAGATCTTGATATTACCGTCCTCTTCATTCGCATTAGCGCATCTTAAGTTTTTGTTGACATATATCCACTGCGCCGTTCCGTCTCTAATTCTTAGTGTTGGGTTTGTGTTATTAGAAATTCTCCGTAATGAAATACCATTAGCACTAACTGGTAAAAAAAAACAGTATCGTTAATAATAATCGTCACTTCGCTAAAAAATACCTGTTCAAAAGATGTTGTTCCGTTCGTTGTATTATTGCACTCAATATAAGTATTGGTATCAGTGTCGTCATTAGTTCCATTAATTAATCTTATAGCGCTTGTCGTTTCATTTATTGACAAGTCTAACGAAATATTTGATTTTGTAGCTTTCGTGTACCGTTCAATGCTTGTGTTAGCATCTAGTAATTCTACTGGATTGCTGACACCACCACCTGCTCCTGCTATTAATGTATCTACCTCGCCTTGATTGTAATAATTGCTTGCTAGTTGTGAATTCGTTTGATAGTTTGCCGTTAATGTCGCCGTCGTAGCATGAGGTGCTAATGCTGTGTTATCAATCCATGTATCGGCGTCTATTTCAATTTCAGTTTTATTGTAGTAATTCGTGGCTAGTTGTGTATTGGTTTGATAATGATCACTTACATTTGTGTTTATACCATTACTAGCATTAAAATTAGTAAGTGCTTTACCATCTACAACCGCGATAACATCGTCTACCTGTGTTTTATTACAGACATTTGAATTCAACTGTGACGTTGTTTGAAAGTTGTTTGCGAGATTAGTATTAATAGCAGTTATTACTAAATCTTGGCCGGTGTTATAAGCAGTAATCGGATTTACTGCATCATCTAGATCTTGTTGTGTGATACCCCCAGAACCCGTCCATTAAACGAGCCGCAACCTTAATAGTAGCAGTAGTAGTAGTAGTAGTAGTTGTTGTCATAATAATAATAATGATAATCGGCTGCGGCGTATAGACTTTTAATAATAACAAAAGAAAAGCAACACATTACACGTAAAGGTTCCTGCCACATATATATATATATATATATATATTATATATTATATATATATATATTATATATTATATATTATATATATATTATATATATATTATACATATATATAATATATATATATATATATATAGATATATAAATATATATATATATATATATATGGTACCCCCCCCATGATCCACCGCCGGCTTTCTTCCATATGTAAAACATATAGAAAGCACTGTAACTACCGGTAAACGTGCTGCTGTACAAAACTCAAATAGCCGCCCAAAGCTGCGTCACAAACTAGGGAGCATAACCATGCAAGCTTCAAACAAAGCCGAGCTGCAGTAAACCAACACTGTGTATCCAAGAGTAAGCCTTCACGACGTTAAGCTGAATTGCGTTATGTTTGAGTCTCATGAAGGGCTCGCAAAAGGAATTGGAAAAAATTGTAAATCCAAAATCAAAAAATACAAAGATTTGGACAAAATCTTTGGATTTGCCTTTTTTCAGTTTTGGATTTCCATGTTTTTTTTTGAGTTTTTGGGTAGAAGCCAAAAAAACCGTGGAAAGTTTTGGAGTTCGCTGGTGTCGCTAGTCAAAAACATAATATTCCCTAGTTTTATATTTTGCATCCAAAGATTCTGTCAAAGTCTTTGGATTGTTGGATTTTGGATTTCCCAATGTTTGCATATATTTATATACATATGCACATATATCAGAATCCTGCATGTCCAGTCTGCCAGTACGATCGATTGCTCAAGTTTGTTTTGCTCGGGTGATTAATACTAATATAAACATAAACGGTAATAATAGTAACACTACTAACACTAATACTAATACGATTTTTAATAGCAGCTACTTACTATCCTATTACTGTTGATAGCAGCTATTATTTAGAATCCTTTTGTTTACTAACACCTCATCCTAATACTAATGCTAATATTAATACCACTACTAATACTCACTATAATTATAGCTATTTAAAACACTGTTATTTTGATAGCAGCTAGTACTAATACTAGTATTCATATGAATATTAACATTACTGCCACTATACTAATATTAGTAGTAATACTAATATTCATACGAATACTAATGCTAATAATACTGCTATTAATACCAATATTGTTTTAAATAGCAGCAATTGAAAATACCTTGAACATGATTTTAACCTGCATTCAGCCACATGCGAACTTGAACTGCTAATAATCAACAATAAGTTTCCGTGCGTGCAGACCAAGGATGATTGAGCAGCTCATGAAGGGAAGAATAAGCGGTGAGTTGAAAAGTATGCCTTCAACATCATGGGTCTGTCTGAAAGAAAACATATCCTATCCAAAACCACCTGGGGTTGAGTGACGCCTGAGCCCAGAGTCACTTTTTCTCAGCCAGGCGCTCACAAGACCACAGGCTCCCGAGGCCCCTAAATGTCAAACCGGAGTTTAGGTTCAGTTTAAGGGTCAGGGCTCAGGGATTTCTGTGGATCAAATTAGTTGTTAACTTTGAGAATGTGTGTCAACCGAACATGCGTTGAGGAACTGAAGCCTGTGGTAAGGTTGAAAGTAAAACTGGTAGGATTGATGGCCGAAGCAGCCCTTAAAAGACTGATGGCCGAAGCAGCCTGCGAAGCCGAAGCAGCCTCGCACCTGGCCGAAGCAGCCTGCGAAGCCGAAGCAGCCTCGCACCTGGCCGAAGCAGCCGAAGCAGCACGCAGCTGCTCACGTAGCGAGAGGATCCCAGACGTCGTCGTCGTCGTCTTCCTTTGGTTCTTCGTCCTCTGCTTCTTCCGCGTCATCGTCTTCGGGTTCTTGATCCGCATCCTTTTCGGCTTTCTTCTTTGCTTTAGCCTTCTTCTTTGGCTTAGCCTTGGGATCAGCCTCCTGCTCCTCAGCCTTGCGCTTGGGAGTAGCTTTTGTTTTGGGCTTCTTTTTGGGATCTGCATCAGGCGCTGGATTTGCTTTGGCCTTGGGAACCTTTTTGCCCACCGCCGCTGCGTATTCCGAATTGAAGAGCGGACTTGCTGTGTCACACATCTCCAACTTCATCAAGTCAAGCAGGTGCTCTTCCAAGAATTGGCTGTGTTCAGGGGTGAAGGTTATTCCCATGTAGCCCACCCTGGCCTTCAGCGCTTCGAAAGTGAATCGGCCGTCGCCTGGCGTTAGGTCGATGACCATCTTCGCCCAAAAGGAGTGCATGAGCTCTGAATAAAATGCACCAGGCATAGAATGAAAGCAAACTGGTTCGGGCTTGTTGCCCAGGCGATCCATGTCTGATTTTTCTGTTTCTTCTGTGGTTTCAGTCTTTCCCCCAACGGCGATCAGATGTTTTTTCCCGTAAAGGGTCTTCTTCTGTTGCCATGGGAGGCACCACTCAGTGGACAGTTTCGGTAGGTCCACTCCTGAGATGAGGTCGCCTGTGCTTGACCCCGGCCCGTAATGCTTGCGCTCCCTGGCCGGAAGAGAGAGCCTCTTGGAAGACAGCACGTGCGCCCACTCAATCTGTTTGATCGTGCTGTGGTTTGTTTTTTTTGGCGTCGGGCGTTTAGGCTCGCTTCGGTGTAGCCAATCTGCAGCAAGTCAGAGACCAGGTTCGGCCGTGTGTCTTCCTCCTCCTCGCAGTCGTCGTCATCCCCGTCGCCATCGTCTTCATCCTCGTCTTCTTTAGTAGGCTTCTTTGCGGGTGCCGTAAGGGTTGATAAGCTTTTGCTTGGCGCCCTTCTTGAAGCCGTCCAGCAACACTGCGACTTCGCCTGGCTGCAAAGCCGCTGCTGAGCCTTCGCTCTGCCTGGCGTCATGACGGCACGGACGAGGCGTGTGTACGGTCCATCCCGAAGGGGCGGTAGACGAAGGTCTGGCCTTGTCGCAGACTCACCGAACTTTTTCACATCGAAGTGTAACAGCACCAGACCCGTCGGGCCCCCCTTGAGTTTCGAAAACGGGCAGTCGCGGATGGCTTGTTCAAGGTCGGAAGCGGCTTTGTGGTCGGACACGAAGCGAACTTGACTGCGAAGATTCTTGAGCATGAACTGCCTCCATTGTTGTTGTTCGTCTTTCGTGAGTTTGGCCTCTTCTGCGGCCGAAGCAGCCGAACCAGTGCCCGTCGACGATGATGGGGCATCGCCAGACCCTGCCGGAGCAGCCGGGACTTCAAACAGAACTTCGGCGGGCTTAGACTCCTTTCTCAAGGCTGCCTCGATATCCTCTATTTTTCTTGATGCTGGGATAACCGAGCACGTCAGCGCATTCATGCTTCGATTTCAACGCATCCCTGTACCGGCCATCAAAAGTGTCAAGGTACACTAGCTGTTCCAGCAGTTCTGCTGCCAGAACTGAGTCTTTTGCGCCCAAGATCCAGGCCGTATCAGCCTGAGTTTCTTCTTTGTACGGGCTGTACTTGCTTCGTACGTGAGTGAAGCTGCTGAAAGCTGACCGCAGGTCTTCTCTGGTTTTGCCCGGAAACGTTCTTCCAGTGAGCCATTCCTCGAGCAAGTGGTTCTTCACGGCCAGCTTGAGCTTCAAGATTTCCACGTAGCCTGATTATCGCAAGTTATGGCAAAGTTTAAGTTACCATAATTTTTGCATCTAGATGATTATAATGATATTTATTACTATAAAAGCGAACTACTTGAAAATGAGCCCAGAAAAATTGATCACGAAGGTCCGAGACACTGTTCCGAGCGTCTCGCAGCTTGCTCACGGCGAAGAAGCCTGGCTCGACGAAGCCTTTGCGAAAACCATCTATCATTCCTTCCACTGCCCAAGTGATGTGCTGTGGGGTCTGTGCCTTGTCATAGATGCTGGACAGTGGGTTGCCCTTCAAGTACTGGGCATCCAGCTCCTCCAGCAAAACACTGCAAGCTGGAATACTCAGCAGTCTGTCGTGCACGGTTATGGCGCTGTCCACGAAGTTTCCGAGATGATCTCGGAGCCAGCCGAAGCTTTCAGGTGCTTCTGATAGGCACTGGCCACGGCGGCAGCCCCCAGTGTAGTTTTCAGGGCAGCCTCCTTGCTGGCTTTGAAGCCTGCTACGTCGTAGATCCGCTGCCGCACCGAAAGCCGAACAGTGATGCCACGCTCAACCATTTCCTCCCGTAGGTTTTGAGCACGCCAAAATCTTGCTTCACCCTGTGGGACGAGCTCAAAGCGAAACGGTGTGGTGAGCAGCAGTTCTTTCCATCGACGAAGAATAGGTTCAGGTGCCTTTGCGGAGATAGCCTCGTGGATGGAAAACAACAGAGCATGGCAGGGCTCGGCCGGAGACAGCCGCTGAAAGCTGCCTTTCTTGTGAAATTCTTTGTCACAGGCGGCCGAAACAGCCGCAACGATTTCATACGTGAATTCTTTCGGTGGATCCATGGGCGGCAGGTAAAAGCGCTGGATTTCCTGCACCTGCCCCTTGTTGATCGGAACCCGACGGTTTGCCATCCAGACTTGATCGCACCAAAAGAAGTTCCCGCCGCAGGAGTAGTGGGCTGTGGCATCCCTCTGTGAAAGTTTAAACCCTTAAACCAGTATCCTTGTCACAGCACGGCGCGAGCTTCGGAATCTTTTCTCACTACTCGCTCTGCTGTCAGGCTGTCTTGAGCCTACGTTTGACCTACGGAGATACGCAGTGAAACTGGCGGTAAATCGGGCATGAGGGAAAATTGAACATTCTGTTACGCCCTCATCACGTACACAGCATTGTCGTGTCACGTGATTCTGTGAAACTTTTTCCTAACTTTTGTACTACTTCTGCTTCTGTTTTCGCATGCTCCTGTGAGCCTTCATCTTCACTTCTCGCACGCTTCTTTAAGCACTTGTGGGACATCTTTATCATTTTCTTCCTTTGGTCTTCGTCCTCACTCTTCTGATGTCCTATAGCAGATTTGCGAATTGCTTTCCACACACATTTGGCATGGACTCACTCCACTCTACGTGCACACTCACTTTTTCTGTACGTCGCTGTACGCGAGGTAGTCGTAGTCCATCCTTGCCCTTCGGCAATCTGGAAACTTTTGCCGGACTTTTGTCTTTAGTCCTTTCTGTAAACATTGGCTTTTGAATTCATCGTGGTGCTCGTAGTGACTTGACGTTGCCGTGGGACTTTCGTCCACGTGGCTTTTGTCGTTGCCGTGGGATTTTCTATCCTCGTGGCTTCTGCCTTTTGCTTTTGTGAAACGTTTGCCTTGGCTGATCTCAGCCTCACTTTCGCCTTGCTGGGCGTCTTTGTGAACGCCCTCACTCTTCTTGCTTCTTTAAACCGTCGCCGCAGTTTACATAAGCTCTTGCTCATTCCGCTGGCGTCTCTCAGCTCTTTCTTGATCGAACGGAGATACGCTCTTACGCTTCTTTTCCTTTTCAACCTTCTTTGTCTTCTCAGTCTTGTCAGATTTCTTCTCCTTGTCCTTGTCCTTGCTCTTGGACTTTTCCACTGGCTTCTTCTTCTTTGGATCTTTCTCTTCTGTCTTCTTCACAGTCTTTTCTTCAGTCTTTGCCTCTTCACTTTTCTTGGGCTTCTTGGGTTCTGCTCCCCAACTGTCTTTTGGCTTGTATCCTATGCCCAATGTCTCTTGGAAATCTTTCAATTCCTTGTCATACTTGTATGCATTATCCTCCAGATAGCTTCTCACTTGGTCTTTGTAATTGCAGATGTCTGGGGTATGGGTACCCCAGCCAGTATATCTGAATGACCTTCCGGCCATCTTCTGGAAGTAGATATAACATACCTTGCAGAAAATCTTGTGAGCGGTGTTGCTGGCTTCAGGCCGCTCTCCGCTGTAATACATTCGCACAGCTTGTTCCATCAGAGGACACTCAGTCGCTCTGTGGTCGGCTGACTGCTTGCAGTAATAGCAGTTCTGGTATCTTGTCTTCTTGTACGATTCTTCCTTTTGATCCCCTTGGCCTTTGAGCCAATACGGATTCACTTGCCTCTTTGGTGGCGTTCCTTCTGGTTCGCTTGGCTTGTCCTTTGCATGATCAACTTTTGCCCTTGCTGCTTTGTCGATCATATCATCTGTTGCTTCTGCGAAACGCTCTTGCAGCTTGCGCTTCAGCTCCAACTGCTTTTCCTTCGTGTTCGCTGCACTTCTCTCTTCTTCAGAAATAGCCAATCCTTCTTTGATAACGCTTGGTGCTTTCTTCGGCATCGCTTTGACCTTTGCTGCCGGTGTTGACGGATTACTTCCTTCACTTTTCTTCTTGATCATCGTCATAAGCTTTGCTAAGGCCTGTCTTTCTTTCTCCTTATCTGGATCTGGCCTCTTGTACAAGTCTAGGTCCTTGAATTCTTCACTTAGGGCTGACAGTAGCTTGTCTGCCATCTGTACAACTTGACCTAGCTGCTCTAACGCACTTTTCACGTTGTTCGTCTTCTCAACGTCTCCTCTTGCTGCGACTGCATCTTCTTCAAGTTCTCGAACTTTCTTCATCCTTGCTTCAAGCTTTTCTCTCATCTCCTTCTTGAGTTCCTTCTCATACAGGTCCATCTCTTCTCTTGCTTGCTTGTAAGCCTCTTCAGCTTTACGCTCGTCCTCGGTGAGCGTTGACATGCTTTCTATATATTCTTGCACGTCGTCTTCTACTTTTGCCAAGAACTCTGAGGTTCTTATTCCGTACCCTACCGGAAGTGTTGCAACGGGTCGTCGCATTTGTTCTTGCCATAAAATGAATTCGCGCTCCAACGTAGACGATGGCATTGCTTGTCGAATGGATTCGACATTCACCTGTGCCATGACCGTTGGGAATATCGACATTGTCTCCACGTTAAACTCATTTCGTAGGGCTTCTTTTGCTTCTCGAGCCTCCTCATCAGAGGATTGGACTTGGCTTACAGCCTCCTTTTTCTCTTCTTTCTCCTTTTTCAATCCATCTTCTTTCTTCTCTTCCTCTTGTTTTTCTTCTTCTTTCTCTGCTGGCTGCTCGTTCTCTTTCTCTTTCTCCGCTGCTTGATCCTTCTCTCTTTCTTCTTCTGCTGCTTGCTCCTTCTTGTCTTTCTGCTCTGCTGGTTGCTCCATTTCTCGAGCCTCTTTTGCTTCTCTCTGGTCCACAACGGCATCCGCTTCTGCCGTAACTTCTCTTCTTCTTTCCTCGGCTGCTTCCTTCATCTCTTCCAGCTGCCGTACCTTCTCGGCCATAATTTCTCCTTGCTCTCTGATCTTTTCTTGGACGTCTTCAGGTATCCGGATGCTTCCTTGCTTTAACGCTGCGAAGTTAGCTTCTTGAGACTTCTTCAACCTTTCTGCTTCTTCTGCCAATTCTTCTGCAGTTTTCTTGAACGTCTCCAAATCTTCTTCCTTCTTGTCTTCTGGCGCTTCTTCTTCATCGTCCTTTTCTGCTGACTCGCTTTCTTTGGACTCATCGGACTCTGGATCCGACGCTGCTTCACTTTCCTCCTTTTCCACTTTGGGATTCTCTGGCTGTTCTTCCTTCTTCTTTTCAGCAGATCTGACTTCGTACTGCTGATTGATTGCCTCTACCTCCTTCCAGAGGTCTTCAGTGCTTGGCCTTTGTGCCTGATCTCTTTTAAACACTTTTTCGAGGTAAGTTGTAGCTTCGATGCTTCTGCTACGCTCTGTGATCATATACTTGACTGCTTCGTCATCTGCCATTGCTCTTGTCCTATCTTCTTCTTTTTCTTCTTTCTTCAGGACTTCTTTCTTGAGCAAAATGGCTGCGCTTGCAACTTTATGCATAATCGCTGACATGAACATGCACAACAGTATGCAAACTACACTTGCTCTTCGCAGTCCTTGTTCTCCTTCTTCACCGAATCTTCTTGCTTCAGCCAATGATATCAGCACTGCGGTCGTAACCGTCTGGATAATCCTTGTAATCATCCTTTCATCAAATCTTGGAACACTTCTTGTTCTTGTTCTTCTCACTTCAGCTTCTTGAACTTCTTGTTCACTTGGCGTCAGAAATTCACCTGTGTATCCTAGGCTTAGCATATACTTTCGTATCTTCTCCCTCCCGTGTCAGGGATTTGGAGCTCTGGGGGTGGCCAGGTGCTCCCCCCCGGGTGGGCAGTGTCGGGTCTTGGCCTGATGGGAGCCCGGGCTTCAGCCCTTCCGCCGCACCACGCGGCCTTGCTTTTCGCCTCATATGCGCACATGGGCGCGCTGGAGAATTTGGGCCCTCCTGCCGACAATTGGAACGTTTGGCGGCGGTGTCCGCCCCATCTCCTGCGGGGGAGGAAATGACAACCCTAGACGTCTCCGACCAAGAGTTAGCATCTTATTTTTATAGAGCGGTCAAGGCCTTCGACATGGCGCATGCAAATGAGGATGAACGTCAGGGTGGGGGCAGCCCATCGACGGCCCCTGAGGTGCGCATTGAGTGCTCTGGCGCCAGTACCTTTTGCACCCCGGCACGCAACGACGCTTGGCAGCTCATGTGTTCCACACAGTGCTACGGCCCAACGGGGTGCCTTGCGGAGACATGTTCCAAGGGGTCGGTGACGGCTTCCGCGCGGCTCAGCGATTAAACCCCCAAGCCCCTAAAGCCCTGAACCCGTAGACGGTAAACCCGAAGCCCCAAAGCCTCCAAAGCTTAAGCCTCGCTTAGCTGAAGCACCTTTTTTTGGGACGTGTGCGAAACCAAAACATCAGGGGCCATAGTGTCTCGCGATTTGCATGTGTGACTAGTAAACCGAAAGCCCAAAACCTGAATTCGACGCAGGTCTGATGGTGAGCTTTGGGGCAGGGTCTCAGGTGCACTTCTGTACGGGGTTGCAGTCTGGGCCAAGTGGTATACCTATATATA